ATATTAAATTATTTTTAATTTCTTAGCTTCCTTCTCTAAAATGAATTTTCCACTTAAAGCAATTTTTCACGGCATGGCTTTACTCTATTCTAGATTAAAAGTGAAGACTATGAATAATAGTATCAGAGAGCCTTGTATTCTGACTTATTATGAACGTGGCACAGTTTATATCATTCGTAACGAAATGACACCAAGAATTGGCTTATAAATATGGTGGATATGAAATGTAATCTGAAAGTAGTTTATTCATTTGGAATACATCGGTTTACCAGAGTAGTTTATCTCTTCCATTGCCTAGATGTACTGAATCTGACTTGTTCAATTATGGGTGTCTTGGGGCTTCAGCATTTTTGTTAGTGTTACTTTCTTCAACGGATTTTGACTTCAGCTCCGGCTGCAAGCAGTGGGCATGTGGATGTGGATGGAAGGACTATCGGTAGATATCTCTTCTCATTACAGGTTTGCCATTTTATCTACATGTCAGTATCAATCAACTTTTTATCCAAGATTTATTCTGTCTTCTCACTCCTTGCTTTATCTAGATTTATGGCGATGGCAAGCAGACAAGATCATTTCAATATGTTGATGACTTGGTTGAAGGTCTGGTTCGATTGATGGCTTCAAACTATAGTCTGCCAATCAACCTAGGAAACCCGGACGAGTTTATGGTTCAAGAGCTAGCTGACCAAATTATAAAGCTAACAGGTACCACTAGGAGCCCTGTTCAATTGGGCAACATGAATGCTCCATTCTTTACACACCCAGCTTATACAGCATTGTAAAAATTTGTGACATATACCTCCATTTTGTTGATATTATATAGAATTTATAAACGAATATTGGCTAAACCCTTTAAAATGAGCTGAATTTGCAATTTTGTGTTTATATATCTTCTGAACAAAGAGCATGTTTCGAAATTTATAGAAGATCACGAATAAGAACATAACGCCATCTAATTCTGTTAGGGTGAGACGTATTTAGAATGCCATGCGATGCTATTGTATGTTTGCATGAGTAGGTTTCGAGACTATCAGTGATGCTTCAGCAAGAGCTTAGTCCCCCTAGGCCGCTCAAGGTGATTCAAGGACTGATAGATGGGTTTTTTTACAATCACAAGAGCAAGTCTCATGATGCCATTTGAGTTCACTTGCCTTGCCCCCCAAAAGGTATGCTCATCCAGGGTGTACTGCAGTTTAGACCTCGCCTAGGTCTCATCATCACCCCCAACGGGATTCGATACCCGGTAGTGAGTTTCGTGGCGATGTTGCCATTCCAATACGCAACCACAGTTTGGAGTAGGTCATAGGGTAGATGTCATATGAAGGCAAGCATTTATTTGCAATTTCAACCGACAATGTTACTTATTTTCGGTACATTTATTTCAATGTAGAAAAATTCAACTATTAATAATTGCACTACTTTTGCATGTTGGAATGTAACAAGTTCTTATAATTTAGTTTATTTCTTAATTCCTCGGCATCTTGCTTAGGGGAATAAGATTCAATTTAAAATTTTAGCTTTACGCACTTCCAAGCTAACGAAAGAGTAATCTTTTGTGTAGTACTGGTGAAATAGGCCTAAACATGCTTATTTTCATCATTTCATTGCTCTGACTAGACCTGAAGCTATTCCAGCCTCTTACACTTGTTCAATGGTCCCTCCTGATCATACACTCTCTCTTCATCTCCTCAAATTTATCCAACAACCATGAATAGTTCTCAATCACTTTCCTACACTCGTTCCTCCTTTTCAGGATGTTGGCTGTTTTGCTAGTTTCTATAGACTCTCTAATCTTTCGCTTCGACGTGAGGTCTACGCTA